TAAGCAGCAAATTAGGAGTTTATTGAGGCAAAAGTCGTAATTAATAAGTGAGAATTGGTCTCCAAACTAAAGTGTGAACATTATTTATTTATTTGATAAGAAGTCTCTTACACATATTTGATCAAAAATACATTAAAAACAGTAATATTGTAAAATGTTACTGCTTAAAATAACATAATTTATTTAAAATAGAAAACATTTGTAACATTATAAATGTCTTTACTTTCTTTACTTTTGATCAGTTTAGTGCATTTTTGCTAAATAAAAGTGTGGAATAAAAGATTTTGTAGCTGAATAAAAGATTTCTTTAAAAAAACAATCTTACTGATCCCAAACGTTGAAATCTATTATATTGTATCATATCGTATTCTTACTGAGGGAATATGTGTGTTTGTTCTCATGAAGGTGTCCTCCACTAATGGACATCACTCTTCACATGCTGAACGGGTACCTGTTGGCTTCTAAGGCCTACCTGAACGCCCATCTGAAAGAGACAGCTGAATTTGAGCGACAAGCTCCGACCGTATCAAACCTTGGGCTCAGTGGCCAACCTGACACACCTGAGGTCACCAGAGAGGAGCTGAAGAACGCTCTGCTGGCTGCTCAGGTAGACACATGCACACACATTTCTAGTACTGATCTCTGAATCATCAGTTTGTGCATTTGGCACAAATGTTGTTATTGTTTTTGTCAAACCTTCAGGACAGTGCAGCGGTGCAGATCTTGCTGGAGGTGTGTTTGCCGCCCCCTCAGGAGGAGCTGCAGCTGGGAGGAGCAGACAGCCTGTTGAGGAGCGTTCAGTCTGCTCCAGGTATTCCCATGCGGAAGCAGGTGGGCGACACGGGGGCTGGGCAAGGGGCCCAGGGGGAGCGTGAGGCAGAGGGCGGGCTGCTCAGTGACCTGAGGGAGGTGCAGTGTCTCATCTGCTGCCTGCTGCACCAAATGTTCATCGCAGACCCCAACATTGCAAAACTAGTACACTTTCAGGTAATTAAGTATCTCTGTTACAGTACTGTTATCACCAGTATGATACATGCTTTATACATACATACATAATAATCATAGATCTTAAGACACAGTACACACACAACGTTTTTTTTCTCTAGATGGATTTAACATTTTTTGTGTCATGTATTTCAGAGTGAAACAGGATATTCAGTGGGAAAAATGTGGGGTGGAATTTATTTTTATTCACTGGAAATTGATTAGATTTATTAGTGACAGCTGGTCTCTGTATGACAGGTGGTTGGATGGGAGGGGTTACAATCAAGTTTAATTAATTAATCATTTAATTCAAAAGTGACAGTAAAGACATTTATAACAATATATTTTATGGAGTAATGGGTGCTGAAAATTCAGTTTTGACATCACAGGAATTAATTACATTTAGAAATAGAAAACAGTTATTTTAAATTGTAATATTTCACACTATTCCTGTTTTTACTGTACATTTGATCAATGCAGCCTTGGTGAGCATAAGAAAATTATTTCAAAAACATAAAAAAATCTTTCCAACCACAAATTTGTGACATTTTTACAAATAATTCTCCTGGGACGATTTCAATTTTTTTGTCATGCATTAAGCTGAAAGACTCTATATAATTGTTC